GATTATAGGAACCATCGCTGGCATTTTTGGAATATTTGTATTGTATAACGAGACAATTTCTAATTTATTCAAGCGTATAGGAACGAGTCTGACCGTAATAGGAACGATAATTGCTAAAGGTGCTTCGATTACAAAAAGCAAATTAGAGAAAAACTGCTGCAAGAAAGCTAAAGAGACTGTGGATGAGTTATTGCAAATTACAAAGGAGTTGGAGAAACAGAAAACGGAATATTTCAGACTCGTAAATGAGTACAGAACATTATTAGAAAGTTTAAATGAAAGAGAACTAAATATTCTGTACGATACGAAAGAAGATAATCTAGGAAATGTGCATCACGATCTCCATTTGGATCCATCCCTTTACAAAGATTTACCACCGACTGCTCTAGAAATGCGCCAATTAAAGTTAAACGAAGAAATTCTTAAAACAAAAACATTTGAATTTAATTTAATTCCAAAAATATCAGAGGAAATTAGAGATAATCCGTTATTGAAAGAGATTTTGCGAATGAAATGCAAATCTGTACCCTTTGTAAATGGTGAAAATGCTATCAAAACCTTGAAAGTTTTTACGAATATTCAATCGAATTCGTCACTTATCGAATTGATTCCGTACAGCAGCGATGTACAGATTTTTACAGATTCTACCTGTGTGGTAGGTTTAGCTAATATCTTTTTATTAATCGACGAGATCTGTGAATTAATATATTCATATTCGACACGAAAAGAAGTCAGTGTTCAATGCGAAGAAATCGGTCGAGTTGCTAACGACTTGAAACAATATAAGATTGATGTGAAGGATATTTTAAAAGATACGTTAAAATGGGACTGTTTTTGCGGTGTGAAATCTATTGACGAACCGAATTGAAACTGTTTCATGAGGAAATTTAAATTTGTGAAGATATAAAACGGTTATCCTCTTAAAGAAATTCGTTCTAAATACGTGTGTAAGACGCTAATTTGTTGATGAAAATATAAAATACAGTGGTGCCTCGTATAACGTACTTAATCCGTTCCAGGTGCACGTCCGTTAAGTGAATAGTCCGTTATACGAAACGCATTTTCCCATAGAAATACATGTTAAAACATATAATTCGTTCCGCAGCATAAAATAACCGTACTGTACCATAAAAAAAATGAAAATGGAGCAGTTACCAATTATGCCGGGTAGTCAGATGCTGTGAGAAGGAGGTGGAGGAACACTTTCTTGACACATTCACACAGATACAGACTTTTTACATATTGCAGCGGGACTTTTTTTTATTGTTTTTTAATCGGATTCAGATTCAGGAGAGACTACCGGAGCTTGCAGGGTCAACTCCTCTTGTTCCGTCCTTTGTTTTTTCCCTGCTAGTTTCTTGAAAAACACGTCCAAGGTGGTCTATTTCTCTCTTCTTCAACACCTGTCGGAAATGACGGGCAAGGGTGTCATTGTAGAGATCATTGATCCTGTTGGCCTCAGCTTGTTTGGATAATGAATGTTGGTAAACTCCTGAACCTCTTCCCATTTGACAAGGAAGTTTTTGTCAACTCTTACTCCTTCTGATGATGTCTTGCTTTGTTTCAATTAAAATCACCTTTCTGTTTTTTTTAGAAGCCATGATTTGCACAACACTTGAATAAATGTAAATACCCTGCACTGAGGTGTTGTATGTAATAAATAAGAAAGCAAGCCTAATCCCAACGCTCTGTACTTCAGATATACTGATAGTATATTCTAATAATACTAATCTATATATATAAAAATGAATGTATGTGTGTCCTTTATGCATTACCACACCGTTTATCCAATTGCCACGAAACTTTGGGAAGTTGTTTAATATACTCCCGCGAAGGTTTCTGGCATAGTACGATTGCCATGAAGCTTTGGAAAGTTTTTTAATTTTTTAATACACTCCCACGAAGTACATTTATCCTACGATAGATGGCGCGCGTTTACTCGAGCATTCGAGCATAGTGTGTTCGATCGATTTCAAATTGTGAAGACCATTTCCCCCCTTCAAAAAATATCTCTACATATGCATTTGTAAACTGTTATTTACGATAATTATAAAAGCCTTACTCTCCTTTTAAATACTATTATTATTGTTAAATGTCTACTTTGGACTTATTTATTAATAGGACTTAAACTGGTGGTTAAAGATTGACACAGCAATAATAGTTAGTTCCTATTAATAAATAAGTCCAAAGTAGACATTTAACAATAATAATAATGTTATTTACGATATTTGTAATAATTTTTGTTTAATCACTTTATTTCAACTTTTTTTTTGCTAATTATGTATTCGCTCGAACTTCGTTAAAACCTCAACTGTTCCCCGAACAACCACCGAAGTTGTAGGAGGAAATTCGACTTTCCTTCTCCAAATTCCTTCGAAATTCCTTCTCCAAATTTTAATATCGACTCAAAATAATTTAAAAAGACAAATTACAATAAAACGGTTTATTATCCAACTATCAGAAATTTCACAACATGCCAAGGAAGAGAGGAAGGAGCAATTAAATAATTAAAATTATAAAGGATTAAAAATATATATATATATATATATATAAATGGGGAATATCGCGCTTCTGACAATCGCTGCGAGTATGTGGGCTAAATTTAAAGAATCGCAGCCGGATGGCCGAGCGGTCAAGGTGGCAGCCTACCGCTCTGGGGGACCCGGGTTCGAATCCGAACGGGTCGAAAAATCCCCAGGAATTTTTGGGGGGTGGTCCGTTCGGATATGTCGGGCCCCGTCGCTCACCACCCGGCAGCCCCATTGTGGGCCTGGCCGAACCCATAATGGGCTTGCAAAATGAGGCCCTCTTAGTGCCCACAGGGCGGAAAGAATTTAAAAAAAAAAAAAATTTAAAGAATCCTTGCTTCTCGCGTGTACAACTGTAAGTGGCCAGGTCACGCGTCGGAAAATCTTCTGATTTATTCGTGTACGCACCAGACGGAAAAACAAAAAATATCGTGTATCCATAAGCACTTCAATAAATAAATAGAATTGAAATGACACTTTAAAACGTCTTCCCGATGAAAATTAATAATAATAAGTTTCAATAAAAATGATAAAATGTAAATTTAATTTTATCATAACGAGTTTGCTTGAATTTCCTTTATTCTGAGATCGCAGCAATGCGCGACGGTAAGCTAGTATATTATAAAAATAGCAGATTGTCATTGGCAACGGCAAAAGAGTGGAAACGTGATTCGCACTTGTGCTTAGAAAGTCGATTGGTCGCCTCACGTAACTGCCGAACGAAAAGTCTGTTGTTCGCAGCCAGTCCGTTGCTCGAGTCACGTAACGGCCAAACAGAAAGTCCGTTATTCGCAGCGTCCGTTATTCGAGGCGTACGTTATACGAGGCATCACTGTATAACTAAGAAATTTAATATAATTTTTTTTAACCTCACCCCGTCGACCTTTAAAACACACATACATCATTTTTCCGTTATCACAGCTTACTCATTTTACGTTACTGTACGAGTTTCTACTGCTCTCTTCTTTCGCTTTTCTGTACTTCATATAATATGTGGGGTTCGAGGGCCGTAAAGATTTATTACGTACTTTTTTAGGTAGAGTCCTGCCACCAGGTGTGTTTTATCGGACACACCGCCGTTTGAGATGAAATGGAAAATTAAGGCGCGAGGGTAAGAGTCACTCTGAAGTCCAGGAATGAGTCTCTCAGGAGGAAGAATACAGAGTCAGATATAATTAATTTAAAGACATTTATTAACATAAATGAAAGTTTAGAACAATTATAAAAGCTAATTTTGAAAATTTGCCTATTCTTATCTATTCAACGAGGGGGTACCTAACGGGGGGGTATTTCGAACTTACGAGACTCACAACATACCAGGTAAACAATATGTCTTCTCTTGTGACGTGGATCTGACGACCAAGACTGCGGAGGTTTCTGGTGTTCGCTACACTTCGTCTTGTGCTTGCTCGTTTTTGAGTCGTCTTCTCTTGAACCACTCTTTCTCTGGTTGGAGCTGTGTCCACAACTGCTGACTATATCACTGTCTCTTTCTGACTCCTTTTCTAACTGGACTGTGTCCTCATCTCTGACTGCCTTTTTTTGACTCTCCGTGTCCCCATCTCTAACTGCCTTTTTCTGACTGGACTGTGTCCTCTTCTCTAACTGCCTCACTGTCCCTTTCTAACTGGACTCTGTCCTCATCTATGACTGCTTTTTCTGACTGACTTTCTCGGACTGGGGCTCTGCTTTTAAACCTTTCAAGCGTGAGAAAGTTCATCATCAGGTGATGATTCATTGGCAGTGTTTTCTCATGACGTTGAGCTTTCATAGAGTCATCTCTGAGTTGGTGTTTTCTTATTCCGTGATGACATCAAGCTTTCATAGTCATCTCTGAGTTGACATGACTCATCTTTGCTCTTAGTCATTGTTTGTTGATTGCTTTGACTAAGTTCTTCATGTAAACATTGCCAAAAACAAAGGGGGATGCAATGTTCTCCATTTTATATATATCCTTTATAATTTTTGATTATTTGGTTGCTTCTTCCTCTTTTCTTCGGCATGTTTTGAGATTTTGGATAATAAACCGTTTTATTCTAATTAATTGATATTAAAAAGGGGGTCCCTAGATTCGTAAAATAGGCGAATTTCCTCTTACAACTTCGGTTGTTATCTAAGATACAATTAAGGTTCATGTGAATACATAATTAAAAAAGATATAAAGTAAATAGTCAAAAATTATTACAAATAAGTTTACAAATATATATCTATATTTGGATGGAGGGTGGTGGTCCTCACAAATATATATATATATAACATAATTACACTGGTACTCAATATTTCACCAGGTAACTGGAACCTTCATGGCTACATACAAAGAGAACAACGCCATCTTGGCCTCCGCCTCAAAGCCAATCAATGTATCGAAATATGGTACACCAAACTGCCGAACCACCATCGCCATATCGTAAATACGTCCAAATCTGTGCAGCATTAGAGGAAAGACAGCACCAAAAATATTCAATTCACGCAAATGGAATCCGAAGCAAAGAGACAAGAACGAACTTAACACCCTCCTCACTCCTATTGACCTATTTCAACAGAATATAAAGTTACGCCAACGCTCATCAATATGGATATTAAGGAAAATACGACACATGATGGAAAAACGTATTTTATTCCAACTGACATACAGTATTTTACAAATTACAAACTATTTCATTTAAATAGTTTTATTAATTTTTTTAAAAATATAATCTAATTTTGAGATAGTATTTATTCCAAGGTTTTTCAAGTGGATCTCTGCTGAGAGTTTCAATTGGTGTCACGAAAAGCTTTGCTCCAAGACATACTTTTATTCTCTCACTTAACAATAAATTTGTTGGAAGTTGGCACACAATAGTTACCAATTCTCTTTTATTCAAATATTTTGGACATTCCAGAGAGATTTCACCCGAGCTAGAACAAGAATAATTCCCAGTCAACGAGAACCCAGAATAAGTTAATGCCATTCTAACGCCATCGATTGGGGTAGATGTCGGTTTCTTGATAGGTAGAATGACATGTGTCAAGAAACAATTCTCTAATGAGTAAAACGTGCAGTAAAAATTCGTTTCGGCATCGACGAAACGTTCCAGACGATCTCCGTGTTCGTGTCTATTGACGTAAACGATTAATGAGCTGTAACATTCTTCTGTTCTTTTCTTTGAAAGAGAACAAATTGTTCGAGCGCGTGGATGAAGGCAATTATTCATGGATGAGGTAATATACTTTATCTCTGAAGATGTCAGAACGTTTGTAGAAAATACTTTCCGTAATTCATCTGTATTCATTGATAGAAATCGTACGAGCGGTAAATATGGTAGCATGTATTCACGAATTTTTTCAAATTTCACAGCTTCTTCTTCATCATCCCTGTTATTAAAGTATTTGCGGCACGCCCAATTATAAATGCTCTTGAAGAGTATAAACTCGTTGAATGCTTTGTATTTTGGTCGTGAAACGAATGTCATTATTGTTTCTGTTCCGGATTGGAGAAAACTGGAACTGTGGATAACAGTAAACCAGCAATTATCGAATATTTTCCAACAGTTGAACTTTAGTAAGTCATCCTCTTTCTCGCATGCAAACTCGTAGACTTCGCACACGTTAGACAAGTGTAAATTATGAAGTAAGTATTTCCTGCAGATACTCCGAAGTTCTTCTATTTCGTAATACTCTGCCATTCTGAATACGTTTATAGCGTCTCTGAACGATTTCAGTTTCGGATCACCAGTTACAAAGAAGCTGCAAAACACGTGTCAAATATTTAAAAGTTAATTCATATGTAATAAATATAATAAATTTCAAAGTAATTACATATATCTTATGATATAGAATTTAATGAGTACTTTGAGAAGTGATGCTATAAAATTCTTTGATTTTATGTAATAATGTCGTTACAGTCGACCCCCTATAACACTGTTGATAATTCCGTTTTATATGAATTCCGTGTTGTACGAGTCACTTAGATTTTACAAATACGTAAGCCGTTCACGTATTTGTAAAATCTAAATTAAGTTTTTTATCAAGATTTTCCCATTGACCATTTCGTATAAGTCCTGTACTTTTAAGGTTTGTTAACTCCTACTACATTTCACTCCTGCGAGTGGTTAGTAAACTTATCTAATGCCAAAATGGAATTGCATTCATAGGTTCGTTTGAATATACACGTAACTATCAAGAATACACATCATTAGCGAGGTCACAGATGAAACTGCTGAAGTAAACTATTATGTTAATTTGATATAAAAATTGTGGTTATTTGGGAATTTTTCTATAAAATACAATGGAGTAGACTTAATGGAAAGTATACAAGTGAAAATATAGATAAATTTCTCGAAAAAAGAAGACAAAATTAAACGAAATCTCCACGTGATAGAACAATTCCACGAGGAAATGAAATTTTCTTTATTATTATTATTATTTATTGATAAGCACAAATTTCACTGATAAAAACTAATTACACGAAACACACTAGTAAATGCAAACGTCACTATACCAGGAAATGCATTTCGAATGTTCTGCCCTACTCAGACTATATATCTTTATACTATTATAAGTAAATGTAAAATAAATTATAACGTTGGTTGGAAAAGAAATTATTTTATAATAAATCTAAAAAGGGCCTTATTATTCAGTAATCGAGTGAATAAAACTACTGAGTCCTTTTAGTTTAACGTGGCTCACACTTTGCCAACGGAATTTCCTGTGTGTTTTTTTTTTTTTGTTTTTACGTTTGTAACACCTAAATAAGGACCAGTTTCTTATAAAAGTCCTATTACTCGCTTAGCAGATTTCACATGCACATCTCGGTAACCACTATAAAAATTTGAAACATCTCTCTATATACAGGATACAGTTAATCATTAAACATAGAGTTGAAAGTCATCCATGGGCATAAATTTTACTGTATTTAAAGTTTCAGACAGTGTATTATGCTTTCAGTATAATGTATCAGAAGTATCGTCTGTGCAATTTATGGTTTGCTTAAGAAAGGATGGCTCGAAATGTATTTCCTGTTCTACTGGTGTGTTTCCAGCAAAATTAATGCTTATTACTAAAGAAGTCATCAGCAGAACGAATAACATTTTTATTGTTACATTGTTAAACAATGAAAGGTTACGTGGACTGATTAATTCATTTAGAAATTTCATGAGAATGTTATCAACGTCACTAAAACCCATATTAATCATTAGTCGTTCATTTTATTTCCGTCAATTTACGATTAGGATATACGAATTTTTTGTAGATTTATAAATTAAATATATGAATTTAATATAATAATTAAGTCTATTTCGGTTAATATAAAAAATAAATTACTCACTTTGCTAAATGTAAGACGTTATCGGGTCCATCTATAAGAATCAATTCTTTCGATTTCTTCACTACCTCGTATTGCAAGAAGCTTCTGAAAACGGAACTTTTCATTTCTATCGAACATTTAGGAATCGAGACTGAATTCCCAATTACACTGCTTAATTTTATCATACCTAGTTATTTGCTATCCTTTCATTAACGGAAAACTTTAATTAAAGCAATTTCGATTAATTTTAATAGTTATGTTTCCCGGAGTTTCACAAGTTATATCTTTCAAAGTTCAAAAACTACGTTCTGTAATGTTTCAAAGATTATGATTGAAAGTTGCAACACTAGTAATACGTTAACACACATTTGCTACTGGTTTGTCTTTTTTCCTTTGTCTAGGATCGGTCCGAATGGATTAGTTGGTCTTTATCCGTAAATGTCCGCTTGAATACAATTTCACAAAGAATGTATGTAAAGTACTTCGTTTCAGTGGCGTAGCTACCGTTAATCAGTTGGATCAAACTGCTCCAGGCACACGAATCATGAGGGCACCAAATGAGAAAGGCGAAATAAAAACTTCGCTTAACTTTGTAGATTTATTAGTCACACATATCTGGCTTGTAGACAAAACGAATCTCTTATTCCTAGACATAAGTATTTTATTGCCTTATTTACTCCTTTCCTGACTAATTGCATGGAGTAATTTCATGACTAATTGCATGGAGTAATTTGCTGACTAATTGCATGAGTTGCCTCGGGTAACGTAGATCAAAGTTCGTGAACGTATGTTAGAGTTTGCGCTTACCCAGAAGATGTGTACTTTGATATCGTTTTGCTCATCTTTCTTCATTTAACAATGTTGAAAAACACGAAGAATCGAGCGGTTATGGAATTTCTTGCAAAGTTTACTATCGATGGAAAAGTGGTTCAACCATATTTCACCGATTTATCAAAATTGAGTGTTTAAGGTTACGACAGGGGCTACGAATATGAGTGATGACTGCTCGGGGTTACAAGCAAAAATTAAACAACGAAACCCCGCTGCCAGATTTCTACATTGCTGTTCTCATAATTTGAATTTAATGATCAACGATAGTGTCATCAACGTACAAGAAATCAAGCAATTTTATAAACAGATAGAACAAATTTTTGTTTTTTTTCATTTTGTTAGGCGTTGGCCAGTGTTAATGAAAATGAATCAAACCAACTTAGCAAAAACATTTAAAAGAGTTTGTTTAACACAATAGTATTAATGCTCTTGATGCACTACGTTCTCGTTATTCTGAAATAAATAAAATATTGACATACTTATCATTAAATAGAAAAAAAAATATGATGAACAACGTACAGCTATAAATTTGCTTAATTATTTTAAATAATTTTCAACCATTATTTTAATAATAGTACAAAGTAAAACACTCGAATGCTAAAACGATAGCTTGTCAACTTGATATAGAGTAAGTGATTGGCCGATTTGCAAATGAAAAAGCAAGAAAACAACAATTTTGAAGCTTTTTTATGTATTACAAGCTGCAAGTACCCCCTTCTCTGGGTTTTATTTGTAGTTTTGTTATATATATAAAAAAAATACAAATAAAACAGTTTTTTTATATATATAAAAAAACTGTTTCTCTTTCTCTACATAATCTCTCTCTGACTCGATGTGGTTCCCTATAATTTTCAAGTTGCTTTTTTTTCTGATTATTTCTGTTTCGTTGATAATTTTCTCGTAGCAATGTTAGATGTACTTTTCTTTCTTCCGTCGTTTCATTTTTCCGCGCCATCTTTTGCCTTTGAGGTATGATTCGAGAACGCAAAAATTTATTCTTACGCTTTAGCATTGTTTTTTATATTTTTACTTTTCACACTTTACTATTCACTTTTCACTTTCTACCTTTTTCTGTTATTCGTACACTTTTACTAATGAAAAATCAACTGAAGCATTTCTGTCACACGTCTTTAAAGGCCATTCCCACTACTCACACATAACGATCCTCGACTATTCCAAAACATTTAAGATTAATATTATATTATAGCCAAACTTACCCGTTTTCACAGAATGCAAGAATTAGGACCCCGTTTCCAGACTAATTAGAGAATTTTTACATGTATCTAAAAATATGTTCGATTTCTTGCAAAAAGCCAAAAAACAGCATCTGCGCCTTTAAATCTGGTACGCTGCTTTCTCTAAACACTTTCATTGTTAACACTTCCATTCTTAACACTTTCATTGTTAACACTTCCATTCTTAACACTTCCATTGTTAACACTTTCATTATTGACACAATTCACATATGCAACAAACACTTCCATATATATATATATATATACCAAGGTCTACATAGAAAGGTCAGGACACGCGTGACCTACTTCTTGAGCCGCCATTTTGGGGTATTTTGATTCGCATGTTTTTAGCAAACTTGTACGAGCAGTCAGTTTTATACGACATTAATTAAACTAAGATTGCGTAAATTCAGTGATTTCCAGTCAAAAATATAATAATAATTTCGGATGATTACGCAATTCCAATTTTATGTAACGTTTTCATCAAATAGTTTAATAGAAACAATCACCCATATCATCGCTGTCGTTATTGAAATTAATTAAATAGGTACTAAAACTGATGCAATTACGTACTGTCGAGTGCAAAATGGTTTTCCTCATCGTGACGTGACGTCACGTCACGTAAGTGACGTCATTTCACCTGTCAATCATTTCTACCTGTGCTCCCATTGGTTTAAANATTGTTAAACAATGAAAGGTTACGTGGACTGATTAATTCATTTAGAAATTTCATGAGAATGTTATCAACGTCACTAAAACCCATATTAATCATTAGTCGTTCATTTTATTTCCGTCAATTTACGATTAGGATATACGAATTTTTTGTAGATTTATAAATTAAATATATGAATTTAATATAATTTATTTCATTGAAAAATTCAAATATTGGACAAATCTGAATTTAATCACCCTAACTTTCACTTCTTCGCGTGCCTAATAATTAAGTCTATTTCGGTTAATATAAAAAATAAATTACTCACTTTGCTAAATGTAAGACGTTATCGGGTCCATCTAAAATAACCAATTCTTTGGATTTCTTCACTTCCTCGCATTGCAAGAAGCTTCTGAAAACGGAACTTTTCATTTCTATCGAACATTTGGGAATCGAGATCGAATTTCCAATTACACTGCTTAATTTTATCATACCTAGTTATTTGCTATCCTTTCATTAACGGAAAACTTTAATTAAAGCAATTTCGATTAATTTTAATGGTTATGTTTCCCGGAGTTTCACAAGTTTTATCTTTCAAAGTTCAAAAACTACGTTCAGTAATGTTTCAAAGATTATGGTTGAAAGTTGCAACACTGTAGCAATACGTTAACACGCATTTGCTACTTGTTTGTCTTTTTTCCTTTGTCTGGGATCGGTCCGAATGGATTAGTTGGTCTTTATCCGTGAATGTCCGCTTGAATACAATTTCACAAAGAATGTATGTAAAGTACTTCGTTTCAATGGCGTAGCTACCGTCAAGCAGTTGGATCAAACTGCTTCAGGCACACGAATCATGAGGGCACCAAATGAGAAAAGCGAAATAAAAACTTCGCTTTACTTTGTAGATTTATTAGTCACACATATCTGGCTTGTAGACAAAACGAACCTCTTATCTCTAGACATAAGTATTTTATTGCCTTATTTACTCTATTCCTGACTAATTGTATGGAGTGATTTCCTGACTAATTGCACGGAGTAATTTGCTGACTAATTGCATGGAGTAATTTGCTGACTAATTGCATGAGTTGCCTCGGGTAACCTAGATCAAAGTTCGTGAACGTATGTTTGAGTTTGCGCTTACCCAGCAGATGTGTACTTTGGTACCGTTTTGCCCATCTTTCTTCATTTAACAATATTGAAAAACACGAAGAATCGAGCCGTTATGGAATTTCTTGCAAAGTTTACTATCGATGGAAAAGTGATTCAACCATATTTTACCGATTTATCAAAATTGCGTGTTTAAGGTTACGACAGGGGCTACGAATATGAGTGATGACTACTCGGGGTTACAAGCAAAAATTAAACAACGAAATCCCGCTGCATTGCTGTTTTCATAATTTTAATTTAGTGATCAACGATAGTGTCACCAACGTACAAGAAATCATGCAATTTTATAAACAGTTAGAACAAATTTTTGTTTTTTTTTTTCATTTTGTTAGGCGTTGGGCAATGTTAATGGAAATGAATCAAACCAACTTAGCAAAAACATTTAAAAGAGTTTGTCCAACACAATAATATTAATGCTCTTGATGCACTACGTTCTCGTTATCTATAAGTTATATATAAAAATGAATGTATGTCTGTCTGAGTGTCTGTGTGTATGTGTTATGTCCTTCACTCATTACCACGCCGTTTATCCGATTGCCATAAAACTTCGGAAAGTTTTTTAATACACTCCCCCGAAGGTTTTCGGCATAGTACATTTATCCTACGATAGATGGCGCGCGTTTACACGAGCATTCGAGCACAGCGTGTTCGATCGATTTCAAATTGTGATGACTATTTCCCCCTTCAAAAAATATTTCTATATATGCGTTTGTGAACTGTTATTTACGATATTCGTAATAATGTTCGTTTAATCACTTTATTTCAACTTTTTTTGCTAATTATGTATTCGCTCGAACTTTGTTAAAACTTTAACTGTATACCGAACAACAACCGAAGTTGTAGAAGGAAATTCGCCTATTTTACTGATGTAGGGATCCCCTTTTCCAAATTTTAATATCATCTAATAATTTAAAAAGAAAAATTACAATAGAACGGTTTATTATCCAACTATCAGAAATTTCACAACATGCCAAGGAAGAGAGGAAGGAACAATTAAATAGTTAAAATTGTAAAGGATTAAAAATATATATATAAAAATGGGGAATATCGCACTTCTGACAATCGCTGCGAGTGTGTGGGCTAAATTTGGAGAATCCGTGCTTCTCGCATGGACAACTGTATGTGGCCGGCTCACGCGTCGAAAAACCTTCCGATTTATTCGTGTACGCACCAGACGGAAAAACAAAAAATATCGTGTATCCACAAACACTCCAATAAATAAATAGAATTGAAACGACACTTTGAAATGTTTTCCCGATGAAAATGAATAATAATAATAAGTTTCAATAAAAATGATAAAATGTAAATTGAATTTTATCATAACGAGTTTGCTTGAATTTCCTTTCTTCTGAGATCGCAGCAATGCGCGACAGGTAAGCTAGTTCCCTTATAAAGTTTACGTAAACGTTGCTATCTATAAAATGTTAAAAACACACGTTGAAATGTTTTACCGATGAAAACGAATAATAATAATAAGTTTTAATAAAAATGATAAAATGTAAATTGAATTTTATCATAACGAGTTAGCTTGAATTTCCTTTCTTCTGAGATCGCAGCAATGCGCGACAGGTAAGCTAGTTCTGATATAATTAAAATATTGACATACTTATCATTAAATGGAAAAAAATATGATGAACAACGTAAAGCTAAAAATTTGATTAATTATTTTAAATAATTTTCAACCATTAGATTACATAAGAAAACATGATGTAACGAAAATCTGACCTTTTGAATATGAATTTACAAAGTCATAGTTTATTTTTATCAGATTCATAAAGCATGTTTTGATGCTTGATTGCTGATGTGAGGGTAACGTCAATTGGAAGAAAACATGTTTTTTCCAGAATTTAGTTTTGTATATATTTTAAATTACGGATTTCAATAATCATATATTTGTTTAACGTAAAAGTTGTTTATATAAATTTTATAATTATTAAAGTTTAATTCACAATTCAAATACCAAAGGCAAAATGGCTGTTTAAATAATATACTGGATGTGATGATTCAAATAAGCCATCCAATAATTTCATTTACCTTTCAAAGTATCAAAGATCAATACCTTATTTGTCTCTTGTATGCGAGGATGCTAATCTATATATATAATGGAGACGAGTTGATAATAATAATAAGCGCAGAGCGCAAACGGTTAAAAGTTGAAAGCTGAAATTTGGTACACAGTTAGGGTACGTCACGAAAACGCACACTAAGAAGGGATTTTTCGAAATTTTCCTCACGGGAGGAGAGGGACAGGATTAAGCTTAACACTTCCATCAACAATAGAAGTGTTAAGTAACAATGGAAGTGTTAACAATGGAAGTGTTAACAATGGAAGTGTCAACAGTGGACGTGTCTACAATGGAAGTGTTACGTAGCAATGGAATTGTTAAGAGAAAGCGACATTTTAAGAGAAAGTGCAGTGTTTTTCGTTTTTGCAAAAAATCGAAGATATTTTTAGACCCATCTAAAAATTCTCTAATTAATCTGGAGACGGGGGACCCAATTCTTGCATTCTGTGAAAACGGGTAATGTTGACTATAACGTAATAATCTTAATCTTCGCTATCGTTACCTTTGCCCGAGCAAAGCCGGGTCTACCTGCTAGTGTGCCATAACATTATTGTTCGACTATGGTTACATATCGGACAATATTTATGTATTAGGTATAACTGACTAAATTGATAGTATGTAATTATATGCCGGATAATATAAACTTTTGTCTGAATTCTAATTTATGTGATAAAATAAAAGAATGAGGTAAGATAATATATCTAATTTTTTATTTTAATTTTAACCGAAAAATGTGTAAATTTCTCAGCAACTTATAAGATAATCAAGAGTCTGAAAGAAGATAAAAATATACTTCTATGAAAATTTCTAAAATATATTTTCTCGTTTTTAAGATTTCAAAAAAAGGTCAAGTAATTTATTTTGAACTAAATTATTTTAAAATAATTAATTTAATTATTTTAGATTCGAATAAATTACTATTTTTAAATTATACTAAACAAAAATTGAATACTTTAACCTCGTAATAAACATGTTTCATTTACATCTGTACTTGATGAGATGTACTTAAAGTTTATCGCCGAAACTGTTTGTTACACTTACAGACTTATATAACAACCAGTGTCTGAGGATGCCTGATAGGTTTTATGGAAAGTTTTCTATTAGGCTCAAAAATTAATGCTGTCGTTTATAAGTTTTGTCTATCTCTTTTTATACAAAAGTAAACCAGACAAGTTGCTTAACTTTCCCGGCAATATTTAAAATTTTGGTGACTTCATCTGTTAATAATGATAACAAAAAATATATCGGTGTAAACAATCTAGGCGGGCCGTATGAATATGTTTCAGTAGTCGTATTTAGTTCGCGAGCTTTAGTTTACAGAGCACTGATTTATAAAAACAACGGATTATTAATCCATCTGTTATCAATAAATCTATTACGGAATTATTAGTTTATCAGGTATTTTTGATCAAGTTTGTTTATCAAAAGATAAGCAGATATAATGTTATGATCGGCATTAACAGACAAAATAATTTACAAATGTCTGCATTATGTAACTGGAAACAACATATTGAAGATTGGTCACCCTCTCTTAAGATATACATAAGATCCGTATTAGTTTAATGGCAAAAGAGAAACGTGGGTATAAGAGTGAATGGACAAGCTGACACTGCTGCAAACTCAGCAAATCATTTAGAGCATACAATGCCTATTAAAAACAGCAACTTGAAGCAGGTCATTAAAAATCAACTAGCAGAGAGATGGCAAGCTATTTGGAACACACAATTCCACAACAAACTACACGAGATCAAACCTTTAATAGAAAATTGGACACAAAATAAGCTGTATGATAAGAAATCCGAGGTCATTCTTACTTGTTTGAGAATTAAACATACTCGACTGACTCATAAATACCTTCTGAAGGATTATGTCCATCTAGTATGCCAGTATAGCAACTGCTTTCTAAGTGTAAAACACATATTGTGCGATTGCTCTGCCTTCTAGACGAGGCGTAGACAGTATTTTGAAAATGCAAGTCTGACAGGGGTTTTGGGCCAAAGGCGAAATCTTGACAACTTACTGCACTTTCTAAAAGTTACTAATATGTATAAAGCGATTTAACTATTTATATACTTTTTACTTTTATATATATTGTTGCTTGTTTATTTTTATTGTTGTATATACTTGTTATTGTTTTTTGTTGTTATTTTATATTGAATATATATATATATATATGCAATATAATAAGTATATACATAT